AAGGTTGTGTGTGTGTGCCCGGCAAAATGTTTGCTCCGAACTCTATTCAGGGGAATTTGACGTAAACTGATGTAGGCCGCATAGACATAAATCTGTATCTGAAGGGTCGGTCGCGAATCCCCTTTTTCTGACCAAGCGGGCGACCATTGGTACCCACTGCAGCATTTGTTCTTTCATGCCGCTCTGATGTGTGCGCGTGATAGAAAATGAGTCATGCATCTGTACATATCTCTGGATACGATTTTTTTTAAAGGTGATAGCTACGGAGGAATAAATGTAATACACGCCTAAAGCAATGCTGTGGCTAATGTATTCTACTATGCAAAGGGGCTGCACTTGTTTTTTTTTTTTTATTTCCGTTGTACTAGGTTCTTTGGTGTGAGGGGTAGGTGGTTTTTTCTTTCTTGATTTTAGAACTTGTATTTCGCCAATCTTCCTATTTTTATTATCTTTGGGCTCTCTGCGAGAGTTTTTTTTTTATTTACGCTGAGGAAAAGGGGCAAGATGAAAAGACACACCGCACAGTTAGCAGGAAAGCAAAAAAAAAAAAGACACGGAGAGGTGAGGAGAAGAGGGCATGAGTGTGGTGCAAATGCGGGGAACTCCAAGATAAGTAAGATCGTGCAAGTGTAAATGTGGTGTGTGGGGAACGTTTTATATCTCAGCTACAACGACCACGTTTCGTTTCGTAATTTGTGTCTCTTGCACTGTTGTTGTTGTTGTCCTTGTTGGTTGTTGTTTGCTTGCTTTCTGCTGCCTTTGCGGGTACAACCCATCGAGTAATAAAACACACACAAACACGCACAGACACACATATCCCTCTATCTGCATCTCAAAACATACGTGGTCCTTTTTTTTTTTTCTATCTGCTTTGGAGTGCTTTGTTATTTTTCACTCCTCCTATTTCTGCGTTTTTGTGTGATAATGTGGCCAATGTAGTCTTCTCTGTCAACAATGCGTTTTGCGTGTTCCCGCAGAGGCGTGAAGGTTTTTCTCTCTTTTGCTTGCGTATTTCTTCCCCTTTCTAGTTATGGGGCTGAACCTTATTCTGTTGCAAGCTTGACCTTTCTCGCATTGTACAAACAGAAGTTTATGTATGCGCATGTATGTGGGCCCAACGGAGTCTCAGCGCCTCTTTTTGAAATGTGTCGGAGAGAAGCAATACTGGGGATGGTTTGAGGAAACTTTCCTCACGGTCTTCAGATGTTCTTCTGGCGGCGCATCTTTTCTTCTGTGCTTGTTTTGTTGTTGTTGTATTCGTGCTTGTGCTTGGTTTCTGTCTTTGCTGTACTTTCTCTCTCTCTCTCTGTGTGTGTGTGTGTTTGTGTGTGTGTAGGGTTTGCCATACCGCAGTTGCAGCGCAGCGGATAAGGAAAGGGATACAATACCCCACGCGGCGGAGCAAAGGAACGGAAGCGGTGGAAGGGGAGGAGAGAAACTCACTCAGTTTGATAGAAGGCGAGGCGACGGAAGATGGCGGCGGAGGCTCAGGGTCAAATCCACGAGGATGCGGCGATCAACAGCGACACGATCCAGGAGGAGGTCTCGACTCTGCTGAGAGGGAAATTTGCGCAGGAAACATGGAGCACACGCAAGGTCGATGGCTGGGTGGACGACGTTGTGGAGGGCGTCCTAAAGAACCTTGCGGACCTGAAGAAGCCATTTAAGTACATTGTTAACTGTGTAGTGATGCAGCGAACTGGTGCTGGCATCTCCACAGGGTTTATTAGTCTCTGGGACAACACCCTCGATGGGGTCGTTCATGTGCCATACGAAAACGAAACGCTGCACTGCTTTGTCACCGTTTTTTTTCTGAAATTGGACTAAGCCAGCGGGGGCGGAACAACAGTTGCAGCAGCAACAGCAACAGCGACAGCAACGAGAAGGAAAACTGGGACGCCTGCACGTGCGGTGGAGTGGCCGCGCTGGGCATTAGAGCCGAGGCAGGATGGGGTTAGAGAGAGGAGGACAAGGGGCGGCACCCGCGGAAGGAAGGAGAGGAGTGAAAAAATGTGTGTCCCTGTGAGTCGTGTTCCTTTTTGTATTTTGGGCGAACTTGGGGTGTTTCTGACGCCCCTGTACTTCCATTTCATGTGATCTCCTATTCTTCTGCAGGAGCGTGTCCTCTCGTATCCCCATTCCACGATGTAAAGCAAAGATAAAGAGGGGCACAAGGAAGGACGAACAACATAAGCACGACGGGGGCTTTGACTGGGGAGAGGGGCGTTGGTCGTCGAAGCAAGCCCTTGATGTGATACCCCCCCCCCTTTTTTTATCATCTTCGTAGTCCTCGTCTTTTTTGTGTTGTTTGTCGTTGTGTACTTACTTGTGATGTGGCGGCCCTTTTCTCATTCAGCGCCCTTGCCGCTGCTCGTGAAAACGTGAAAATAGCGGGTGAGGTGATGGACGGAGACGGTGCCAGACGAACACCCCGTAGTTGTCTGCCTTCGTTGCATGACTCTCATGTTGCTTTCTCTCATATTTCCCTCTTACTTATTTTTTTTTGTTTTGTTCTGCACGGCTCACGGTGGCGTGAATCTTGCAGTTACCACAGCGAGAGAGGCGGAGGGGGGGAGCACGAGGGCGACCTCCCCTTTTTTTTTTTTTAGTTTTTGTGCGGCTCACCTCTAATGCTTGGATGTCGTCCCGGGTGCACCTCCATCCTGCCGTGGGCGAATAACGCGCTGCGACAGTATCGTCGGGCGAGCCTACGGCTCGGCAGCAGCAGCGTTATTGGTGCCGTTTCGTTGACCGCCGCCGCCAGGGAGCACGGCTCGCTGAGTGACGAGAGGAGCAGTTCTTCTTCGCACGGGGCACAACCTACCGGCGACCTTTGCACTTCCCGTCATGCGAACTCCTGTGAGGCGAGGCTTCCATTCGCGGGGAGCGACTCGTATCGCGGCGAGGAGGTGGCGCGTGAGCAGCAGTGCGTCGCGGCGGGAGAACACGGTGACAGGGAGCAGGACGAGCTGCAGTTGCTGCGCCAGTCGGCGCGCACACTACGCGGCGCCACCGAAGCGGAAATAAAGGCGGAAGTTGAGCGCGATTCCCGCGACGGCGTAGCGGCCGTTCCGCCGTTGCCACCGTCCGGGTGGAACGTGCAGCACCCGGCGGGCTCGAATTATTTTGTCATGACAAAAACACTATGTGGAGGAGCGAAATCGGCCGAGCTGCACAAACGGCGCTACCAAAGTGTTCACGATAGCTTTCTTCAGGCTGTGAAAGAAAGTCAACGGCAAAATATGCTGCGGGATCAAAAGCGGAAGCAAAGGCAACAGCAGCAGCAGAAGCGTCCGAGAGAGCAGCAGGCGCAAGCACAACATCGCTTAGCGGCCATCTCTGGTGGCGAATCTTTGCAAGCAACGAGTTTGTCGCAAAAGATGGTTGTGGATTACAGTGGTGAAAACCAGCGTCGTGCAATGCTACGAGAGATGGAGACTCCACACGGTGCAGAGGTCGTGGAGAGAATGGATGTTCACTTGACCGTGTTTGCCCCGTTTCGCGTGTACGATCCTTCGTTACAGGACCCCACTGTTGACATCTGCGAGTGGTCCTCCTTTGACGTACTTGTGCGCAAGACGACACCAGCGGACGGGCGTGGTTCTGAGGGTGGTACACGAAGTCCGCTCAACTCTGTGGCCCCCTTCGTCGAAGAAAGTGCACTCTGCATGTTGGTGAGACTAGCCAGTGTAAACAGCGAGATGCGAATTCGTTTTATTCAATTTCTTTCGCGACATGAGGCGCAGGCCTTGGAGGAGCACGTGTGTTTTGGCCAGGGCGAGCCAGGGTTCTTGGAATTGATGCGCCGTCGCCGTCAGGTGGGGGCGGCGACACGCCCCTTTCGCTCACTGCGCCGCTACGATGAACCACTAGCTCAGCTTCAGGAAGTGCCTGCCGGTCAAAAAGCGTTAGCCGGAAATCCTCTAAATCTCAACTCACAACAGGGCGCATGCGGCACGGCCTATGAACTCCTGACCGGCTGTTTTGACTCTAACGGGGAGTACAGTCGAACCTTGTGCTACAGTGGACCCTACCTGAGTGAGTTGTCAAAGGAGATGATGGAGGTGATTCAGGGTTACCTGCAAGGGGACCTTGCTATTTCGACGGAGCTTTGTGAGTATGTGTGTCAGATGCAGTATTTCTTGGAACAGGAGGAGTACATGGCGTGGTTGGGGAGGCTGCGTCACGTGGCCACCGTTGCTGCAGAGCGGAACTCCAAATGAGGTGGCGCATCCTATTTATTTGACTTTTGAGGTTCCACTTTTTTTTGTGTGTGGTATTTTTTTTGTCTCTATTGCAGCTCCTTCTTTGCCCGCGCACTCTTGTTGTGCCTCTGTGTGTCTACTGGAGCAACGCGTGGGGCACGGCATGAATGACGTGGGCGGTCTGGCTGCGTGGAACTTGTGAGGCAATGCATCTCATCTTTCCCTCTCTCATGCATTGTTCTCTGCTACTGTTTGCTCCTTCGCAAGCGCAGGAGGGACCTTTTTTTTTTTTTTCCTCCACGGCTTTGGTGGATGGTGGGTCTCTGCTCCTCATCCGTGCACCTGCGTCTCTTCTTGCTTTGGGGCACCTCCCGCCATACAAGCGAGCAGCGCAGCAGTGAGTGGAAACATATCCTGGGGGCAGCAAAGAAAATAAAAAGTGACCATGGCCCATTCGCTTTCCCAGAAGGAAGTGGAGGAATTTCGCGAGATGTTCGATCTTGTTGACACGGACCACAGCGGCCGCATTACGTCTGGGGAGTTGCGCAAACTGATGGAGACACTGCGCCTCCGCCCCACTGAGGAGGAATTAGAGCAAATGTTTCGAGACGCCGACGCGACGGATTCCAATAATGGGATAAACTTTGAGGAGTTTGTCGCCTTGATGTCTAAGCGTGTTCAGTCTGACTATACGTTAGAACAACTGCGAAGCGCCTTTAAGCTTTTTGAGACGGAAGACATGCCTTCTGGCTACGTTTCGACGGAGGTGCTGGAGCACGCCCTTGTCTCGTACGGCACGGAGAAACTCACTCACGACGAGGCGACGCGCTTGTTAGCTGCAGTTGATCCCGAAGGAACTGGCAGGATCAACTACATTGATTTTGTGTCCATGGTGGGTGGCAAGGAAGTTTGAGCGAGCGGAATATCGAGGATGTGTTGGAAACGACCACGGATTTTTTTTTTTTTAAAAAGCAAAGAGGAAGAAGAGACCACACGAGTGTATATTTCTGTTGCGGCATACTACCCGGGAGTTGCTGCCTTTCGCTATGTGTGTAAGTGTGTTTGTGTGTGTTTGCTTCTTTTTTCTTGTCCTCCTCTGCCTCGCCTCCTTCATGCCTCCCATCGATGTAAATGATGCTCTACTCTCCCCCTGACTGATGTTCAGCGAAATCCCCGAGCTGCGGACCCGACACATGCTCTCCTCTGCACAGCCTCGTCCTTGCTGCGGGTGTGTCAACAGGCGTGCGGAGTCCACGAGGAGAGAAAAGTGTCATGTAAGCGTCTCTGCGTCCAAACTTCAAAGCACTTTTGGTTCGTCTAACGCTTGGTGCTATTGCCGTTCTCTTGCTTCTTCCTGACTGGCCTTTTTTTGTGTGTGTGTGTTGACGGACTGAGGCCAAAGGGACTCCCGCTCACCATGGCACCGCTGAAGAACCTGGCATACAAGACGGTGCGTGGCGGGGCATGGGGAAAAACCTCCTCGCGTCTCATTATCACCCATGGACTACTTGGAAGCAGCTCCAACTGGGCGACGGTGTCACGTCATCTGGCGGACCACGACCTCCTACGTTCCAAGCTACACGAGATTAACATGCTTGACATGCGTAATCACGGCGGCAGTCCCCACGTCTCACCGCACACAAACGCCGTGCTGGCATCCGATATCGAGGTGTTCGCCCTGCAGCAACAGGGAGTTCATCCGGCCCATGATGATGGGGGCATAGTGTTGATCGGCCACAGTATGGGGGGCCTGGCGACGATGGCAGCCCTACTTCGCCGCGAAAACGAGCCTTCGCTGCTGTTGCCAAGTCCTGAGGAACTTCAGATGCGCTTTACCCGTGGGGATTACTACGGATGGAAAGACGAGCAAGGCTTTGCTCAGGAAATGCGTGTTGTCAACGAGTGTATGGGCTTCCCTGCTCATCAACCACTGGATGTTTTCTCCAGCTGTAGAAAAAGTCCTTCCGCTGAAACATCGCCACGTCATTCGTCGGGGCAACAGCAAAAACGGGCTCTGCGTGTCAAGGCTGCCGTCATTGTGGATATTACTCCGATGAACCGTATTGGATCCACAGATAGCAACTCACAACGTGTGGCCGCGACGCTTGATGCGATTGCGAGGGCTGATTTATCACGCATGTGTAACTTTACTGAAGGCCAAAAGGAACTTGAACGGGCTGGTGTGCGTGAAGAGGCTATGCGGGCCTTTCTCCTAACGAACCTGGTTCTGGACCACAAGACAGGAAAGTCGAGATGGCGCTGCAATATGCCGGTACTTCGTGCCGATTACGGTCAGTTGGGGTTAGGCCTGCTTGACTGGTACCTTAACGCCCCTGTTGAGGGTCGCAGTTCTGATAACAGAATGGTAGCCCCGGCCCGATGCGCCCTTCCAACGCTTTTTGTATTTGGAACGCAGTCGCCGTATAACCGCGAAGAGGACCGTCATTTACTTGATCGCTTCTTCTCAAATGTGACGCAAGCGGAGGTGCAAGGTGGTCACTTTGTCCACTATGAAAATATTAAAGGGTTCGTTGATACTGTGGCGCCCTTTCTTGCGGAGCACCTTTGAACCTGAGGCTGAAGAGGCGCGAGAGAGGGGAGGGGAAACGAGGATGGTGGTCAAGGCAGGTTTTGGGAGAAAATCAAAGGAACAACAATAACTAAAGAATAATTGAAGGTTGATAGGGAATGCGAATGTCCTTTTTTTTTTAATTGTTGTTGGTTCTGGCGTTTGTTGCCTTAAGGTGTTAATAAACCTGATACAGATTGCCGCCTTTTTGTCCTGTTGCCCAATCACTCTGAGAAATCGGTGGTGGTTGTGGGGCGAGTAAACACGCGGCTCCTTTTTCGTATTTTTGCTTCTATTTATTATCTCTGCTCGTGGTTTACCTACCCCCCTCCCCATACCTGTATGCGAATTTGTGCCTGCATACGTCCAGAGGACGGATGCGTATCCTCTGCAGAGTTTTATTTTCTCTCCATTCTATTTTTTCTTTATCCTGTTCCATGCGTGTTGGTTGTTAATGCTGCCCACGTAACTGTCAGGGGGAAATTTCCAATTTTGTTTGTGTTTTTGTTTAAGCCACAATTTACTTGGCGTTATTCTTGGACGATGACAGACAGCGAGTCGGACGTCAGGGCCGTACAGCTTTGCAATAGGCTGCTCGAGCTTTTGTACAGTAGTGGCGCCGTCTTTACGGTCAGTCAAATTGCTCTCATTCTTGGGGTGGACGAGACGAGGGTAGTGCATGAGCTCAAACGATCTAATTTCCGCGACATTGTGTACGACCAGGAGGAGGGAACTGTGCAGATGCGAGCCCACCATTGCATGTCACTGTCGGATACTACTGGTAGGGCTGGCACACCCACAGCACGCGTCACGAGAAGGGAATCGAGGTTCTTTGGGTCTCAACACTCCAAGTACGCTAGCGACGGGTATAACGGCAATAGAGTGAGTACGAAGGGCGGGGGACGTGTGGTCTCTACAAAGAGTGCCCTGCGCAAGACGAAGTACCGTCGCCCATTTACCGCGGACGCGGTCGCTGTTGACAGCGCGGAGAGTGCCTCGCCGGTGGGGCGTGTCGGGTACGTGTGCGTTGCCGACGAATTCAATCTCAGCGAGTTGGAGGCCTACTATCGTGCGCAGGGGTACTACACCAAGTTTGATTTTGATGTCCTGCATATACGTTTCTCTGACAAGGAAATGGGTGCAAGAGGCGCACGCAAGGCCGTCCATGCTACAAGGAGCCAGGCGACAACCAATACTCCCACCGCTGCCGGAGGAGCATGCTTGACTCGCACTACGGAGGGCACCAACAATGAAAACAACGAAAACAACAACAACAACAATAATAATAATAATAACACTGGGGGTGAAAAGGCAAGCGATCGAACGTCAATGCTTGTCGCCAAAAACCCTCGCAAAGCGGGGTTTGATTTATTTGTATTTGAATACGGGGCCATTGTCTGGTGGGGATTTGAACAGCGCTATTTTAAGATTGTTGAGAACGATTTTATGCTTCCAAACAGTGCCATTGCAAGATACATGGAAAATCGCTACATGACCCAGCTTATTAGCGAGAATTACCCTGTGTGGTGCACTTACACCCTTGAACGGAAGGAGACGCTGGAGCCAGACGAATACTTCCGAGAGAGGCTGCGCTTTGATCACTTTATCATACCGTTCGGACGTGGAGACATGGATACCGGTAACGTCAGCATGTTGTGCGCCTCACACGCCCTCGCGCAGTCAGCTAAGATTGACTACCTGGAGCTCAAGGTTCAGGAGCTGGCGGAGAGCTGCTCCCCGCTCCCGCGTGACTTGCGGGAAAAGGGCCAGGTGAGCATCACAGAGCGCCGTTTGCTACAGCTTCGTGGTGAGGTGCTTTCCTACCGACTTATGCTAAAGAGTGGTTCAAACCTCATGGATGAGCCCGACTTTTTCTGGGAAAATGCCTACCTGAAACCCGTGTTTCAGGCGACGAAGGAGTGCTTTGAGATCAGTGAGCGCGTGGAGGCGCTGGATAATAAACTGGACGCCGCGAATGAGATTCTCTCTATATTGGCTGAGGAGTTCTCCCAGCGTCACGGCGCCCGACTTGAGTGGATCGTTATTTGGCTCGTGTTGGCAGAGGTTGTCATTGGTGTACTTGAACTGGTAATTGATCTAAAGCCGTGGTTTTACCGAAGTTTGTAGGTGGTGGCAATTTGCAGTGATCGAGGGCTAACTACAATGAAGTGGTAAACAGTTGAAGTTTCTTTTTTGTTTGCTTGCTTGCTTGCTCCTTGTGAAGATGATGGTTTGTTCCTTTCATGCACCTTTTTCCTGTTGCGTCAGTGAGGGACGGGCGTGGCAATCGAATTGGCTGGCCGCGCGGAGGTTGCGGCTGCGGAGCGGGAATAGCAGCTGGCTGCGGGGGAGGTGGACCGGGAGACGGAATAGGGACAGCGCACAGAGGCACCCGCGTGCGTCCCCGCAGGCAGGCATGCGTGCGTGCGCCGTCGCTAGAAGCGGGGGTGGGGGCAGGAGGAGTGGATGCCATAAGGAATAAAGTAGCGGAGGAGGAGGGAGACGAAGGCATTCGCCCCCGAATGCACGAGAAAAAAAAGAAGGAAAAACGCGGCGTCACAAAAGGGAAAAACAAAGGATGTGGAGGGCGGCAAAAGAAACGGTGAGTAGAGTTGTGGGACTGGCAGGCTCCTGCCTCACACTCTCTTCCTCCCCTTTTCTTATGGCCCCGTCTTCTTTGCTCGGGTCCTTCTACAAGCAGGGAAATAAAATTGCGAAGAAGTGTGGCGTTGGTGCCCCCTCCTTTCCTTCTCCCTAATTGTGTGTTGTAACCGCGGATGCATCGTCGATGTGTGGTGTTTTTTGTTTTTATTTTTGCCGTAATCATCGTTTTTGTGCCTCCGTGTGCACGACTGGTGAGATGATCGCTGCTCATGTAGAGCGGGGCTTTGCGGCAGCGAGGTGATGGTGGGGCGTAGCACACGCACGCACGCACGCACGCACACTCTCTCTCTCGACTGTGC